CACTTATAAGCGAAGAGGAATCCCATCAAAAGTAGTACTGAGTGGTTGAACAACTGAAGCTAATAGTTTAAAGAATTTGTGTGCCGGGTTTCACGAAAATTTTTTCTATTAGTTGAATTTTATTGGATCAAGATCTGTATGTATCTTACTCCGAACTCATATTTAATACTTAGGCGAACTTATGGATTTGTTAAGTTTGTCATTTAATTGATAAAGACCAAGTTACAGTTTTCAGAACATGTAAAACATTAATGTTTGGTTAGAGAAAATTTATGATTAACTATAAGCTATCATAGAACATCAGTAATTTACATATTGTAATGTAAGTGAGGGATCTAAGTACCAAAATTTGTGCCGTCGAATCTTGATATTTAATAACCTATAAATTAAAAAAAAGAACTTTAATGAAAAAGGCTTCTTTAAACTTTTTATTAACAAAAAATCATCCAATAACTTTATTTAATAAAAAAGCTTAAACTTTAATTAAAAAGACTTAAATTTTAATATAACGGACAACAATTTAACATAAGAATTAAAAGAAAAAAAACTAAAAAGTAAAAACTGACGCACCGAGTCTCGTGCATCACATCACCCACACAAACTCACTACCCTCATCGCTCTTAACCTCTCTCTCTCTCTCTCTATCTTTCACATATTCTATTAATTTTCTCTGTCAAATCACCATTTCACGTCAACTTTTTCTCTTCTTTTCCTCTCGCATTTCACCACTCCCTACTCTTCTTCTACTCTTACTCAATAAACAATATAGTTTTTTATTTTTTATTTATTGTTTGTTTATTTGACTATTGTTTCGTAATTTTCTTAAAACAGATTAAGCAATAATATTACAAGATCAAAAATAAATAAAAAATTGTAATTTTTTTAGAACAAATTAAGTAATAATACTACAAGGCCAAAAATAAAGAAAATTCGTAATTTTTCAGTTTTACGAACATTAGCACTATTACTATTTCTTAACTAAATATTGATTACTTCTTAAAATGAACATTATTTCTTAAATTAAACACTGACTATATCTTAAACTGAATATTAGTACTATCACTATTTCATAAACTGAACACGAGTACTATCACTATTTCGTAAACTAAACACTGACTATTTATCAAACGAATACTAGTACTATCACTATTTCGTAAACTAAACACTGGCTATTTCTTAAACGGAACACTAGTACTATCACTGTTTCGTAAACTAAACACTGACTATTTCTTAAACCGAACACTAGTACTATCACTATTTCATAAAGTAAATACTGACTATTTATCAAACGAACACTATTACTATCACTTTTTCGTAAACTAAACACTAACTATTTCTTAAATGGAACACTAGTACTATCACTGTTTTGTAAACTAAACACTAACTATTTCTTAAACGGAACACTAGTACCATCACTATTTCGTAAATTCAACATTGACTATTTATCAAACGAACATTAGTACTATCACTATTTCGTAAACAAAACACTGACTATTTCTTAAATGGAACACTAGTACTATCACTAGTTCGTAAACTAAACACTGACTATTTTTTAAACCGAACACTAATGTTATCACTATTTCGTAACTAGTACTATCACATTCGTGTTTGTTATTTGACATTTCTCTCAATCAATTTATTTGACTTTCCTTTAATTTTTTTTTTTCCACACAAACTGAGTCATCTCTTCCCCTCCTTTTTCCTGTTCACCTTCTTCAACCTTCTCTCTCCATTTACGCATACAAAAATACCCACATCAGTTTTGGTCGCCCACAACCCAGACCAAATTGAACCTAGCCCACCCCATCTAAATCCACCGAGATGCGAGTTTGAAAGAGTCACAAGAACAACTTTAGCAGAATTTGTTAGAGTTTTAGATGCTGACATTGGCGTTAGACTACTCGAGAAGAAGATGGCACAAGCATCTATGTCGATCAAAATTAATGAAGCAAGTCACCTCATTTGGTACTGTAACCCACCATTTTCTAACTTTATCTGAATTTAATGAAGCAAGTCCCTTGGAAAGGGCTGAATATGGACGTGTAAAGAGAGAGAGAAAAGGTTGAAGAAGGTGACGAGCTTTTGCATTACAGACTACACATGGTTCTCTTCGGTTATAACTCTGATGAATTACTTGGCGTGCGTTGCACACACTTTGGTTGGATTAGTTTATTTTTTTCTTCTTTTTAATCTTTTGTCCTTATCATTAAATAAAGTTATTAGGTGGTTTTTTTTATTAAAACTTAAAGTTTTGAAATCTTTTTCATTAGTTTTCCTATTAAAAAATTTAGTTAAAAAATATTTCTTGTCAGTTTCGATTTGGGAATAATATGCTAAATTAATGATTCGTTAAATTTATAAGATAATACATTATAAAATATTCATATAGGCCCCATGCATATATAAATTAGTAATTTTATGATACATAGTGCTTATAATTCAGCTATAAAGCCTTTCTAAATTTTTCAAACGATAGATTTGTTAGGTTAGATTAGATGTTAGATTAGGGAGCCGACTAGGTTTGAACCCACGCCATGGTGCAAGGGCAACACTCCTCTCTACCATTGCAGTAAAGGGTCATTTGCTGAAAATAAAGAATACCTTGATAAATTAATAAGTTATAAGCCAACAAGACTCCCCTTTGAGAGTGTTGGAACTTTTATTGTACACAAGTTTACTCTTACTTTACAAAGAGACTGTTTTCACAACTTGAACATGTACCTTTCAATCACAAAGGAAAAGAGCAACATATCTGTTTCCCCAAAACTCTTCTCTTATAAATTACGCGATAAATTATTAATTATTTAGTTTTTTTTTTTTTATGGAAAAATAAATCATTCAAAGAGAGAAACCACGATTACAACCGCTACCAATACAATCGAAGAGAAAAGCATTTCTAACAGTAGTGGGTAAGGTCCTATCCCAGATAAAAGGTATCATGAATAGAGTGCACAACGCTAGTAATGGCATCGGCAAGAAAATTCACCTCCCGAAAGGCATGACTCCAAGATATAGAAGAAAATGATCGTGCAAACAATCTGATGTCCTCGATAATAGTCTTCAATCGCCAAGGTGTTCTGCACTTGTTTAAAATAGAATCGATAACAAACTTGGTATCACCTTCAACACAAATATCCTTAAAACCTTTGACTTTTGCAAAAGCATCATGTAAGGCAAGGGCTTTAGCAATAGATATAGTATTCTCTCCAAGATTGCGAGTCCCAGCAACAATAGGAGACCCATTATGATCTCTAATGATAAAACATGCAGCCGCTTGAGATCCCACCACTAAACCATCAAAATTAATTTTGAGTCATGGCGCACGAGGGGCTTTCCACTTAATAATCTAAGAACATCTATGAACAACATCAAAATTACGAATTGATCTTGAGCTTTTATTAGTAGCCGCCATTGGAACTCTAGCAGGGTGGACCTTACAATTACGAATAATCAAATTGTTTCTATCATTCCATATTTGCCAACAAATAAGGAGAGCCTAACTAAGATTAGACAATTCCACCTTATCATTAGCATTCAATTGAGATAACCAATCATTAGGGCCAGAGAATATTCGCCAAACCTCTTGAGCATAGATACATCTAACAAAAAGATGTTGTTGATCTTCTTCATCAATATAACAAAGAGGACAAACACAATTAGTATTAGGAAAGAAATTATGCAATCTCACTCGTGTTTGGAGTCTCCTACAAAAGAGAAGCCAACAAAACATTTTTATCTTTTGAGGTATTAATAGTTTCCACATTTGGTTCAACAAAACAGTTGAAGTAATAAATTTTTCTTAGTATCAAAACCATTCATTTAAAAATATCAAGTAAGTTAAAATTGCAATAGATAATGTGAAAACTAAAATTGCAATAGATAAGAAGAATCTGGATCCTCTTTGTGAGAATCCGGAGATTCGTGAATCGTGTCCGTTCATCATACATCGTGCAATCAGAAACTATTTTAAATATTTTTATTTAAAATTAAACACAAATAATACCTAACAAAAACTGACTGCACGATGTACGATGAACGAACACGATTCACGGATCCTCAGGATCCTCACCAAAAAGACCAGGATCCTGTTGGAGATAAGAAAAGTGAAAGTCTTAACCGATGATTAATTTAAAGCATGATAGAGTTTTGCCCATCCTTTTGTTTTAGTATGAACTAGCCTTCATGCACGCGCTCACTCGCGTGTATAAGACATTTTTTGAATTACGGCATGCTATGCATGACTTACATGTTTTAAATGTATTTATATGAGTAAATTGACAAAAGGAAAATCAAATATTTGAAGTAAATGAATAATCTTAGATCATGCTAGAAGAAACCCTTCATAAAAGCAGCTAAATTCACATATAAAATCGGTCTCCATAGAATTTACATTAAGAATAGAGAAAATAATATTTAATAAGAAACTGATTGAATCACATTATTATTAGCCCATTGTGAGACTAAGCCCACCATCCTCCTCCTTAATATCGTTTGTTAAAATAAAAAATAATCATTTGACAACTAATTTAATCACATTATTATCCGCGTGAGAAAAACATTTTTTATTTGACAACTAATTTAATCACATTATTATCCGCGTGAGAAAAACATTTTTTATGACGGCATTACAAGCCTCTTAAGATGTTTTGAACGTGTTTAAAAATAGAGAAATTAGATCATATTATTGCTAGCTTATTTTGTGATACTAATTTTTTTTTTTTTAAAAAGCAAAAAAAAATTAATTATTAAAAAAGGTACTGTTTAAATAACAAAAATACCGCTGCCTTATTTGATGTATTATTTTAGAATGCCTTTGAAATCTTTTGTCTTGGAAACATTTTTGTCCAAATATTTTTCTTGAAATTTGGTGACACAAAAATTAGTATTCACATTTCATTTGGCTTTATATATAGAAGAAGATATACAAGATGATGATATCGATTGATTATACAAAAAACTTTAAATTCTAAATGAAAATAAAAATATAAAAATAGGGGATTTTTCGAATATTTCATTTTCTCTTAGTCCGAGTACTCTAAAACCCCTTTGCGTTCCAAGTTAGGGTTTTTGGATAATCCAATTCGGGAAGAGAAATCGCAGGAACCACGATGATTCCCACCGCAATTAAGCTATCACGATCTGCGGCCACTGTCGCTCGAACCGCCAAGCTTGGGCCCTCCATACGATCACCGCTGTTCAGGCTAGTCCACGGCGGGATCAACGGCTCAAACGCCAACCCTGTTGCTCTTCAGATGATCAACTACGCCCTCTCTCACGCCAGGTCTCAGAAATCAGGTCCTTTTACAATCCGGTCCTCTCATTTTTTTAATTTCCTTTTTTATTAATTTGTTTATAAATCTGAAATTAAAATCATATTAATTTGAAATTTGGGTTGTGGGAAGTGTAGATGAATCGTATGCGCAAGGTCTGCTTGTACTGGAACAGTGCCTTTCGACTCAGACGAGTGAAGGGCAAGACTCTGCTGGTGATAATTCAAGGGGAATGGTGTTATTGGCCATGTCCACTTTATCATCTGAAAGGTTTCTTTTTAATCTTCTTGGTTTTTTTCTTTGATTTGTGCACTAGCGATATTATACTTTAAACTAATTTAAATAGCTGAGAGGGGGATTAGAACTCGGGTGTAGAGGGGGCACATCCGCTCTAGCCAAGTTTGCTTGTTTTGGGTGATTAGATAACCTGTTTAAGTTATCTGTTTGAGGGAATATGAAACTCATATTAATGAAATTCAAATTTTTCAGAGGAAATTTTGATGAAGCAATGGAGAAACTGCAAAAGGTTCAAGATTTAACCAGCTCTTCATTTGGTGTAAGGGGTAAGGTTATTTTATTGTTTTACATTTTTTCTGTATTTATTTTGTAAAGTTTTGCCTTAATAGACTGATCTATTGACTAATAAACCATACTGGGTTTCGCTAAAGTTGCGGCCTTGGAGGCTCTTGTCGGACTTCACTTAGAGTTAGAGCAGGTAAGTAGACACAAAAACGAAATGTTTTCTTGTGTTCTTTTATAGCTTGAATATGTAAATGATTCTCCCTATATAGGATGATACTTCATCAGTGCTCGCAGATAAATGCTTAGAACTGTTGGTGAAGAATGAGCCTGAATCTAATGGTGGAGATTTTATAAATGCTCGCGCTAGAGCAGTAAAAGGGCTTGTTGAACTTGTCCATGGTAATGCTGCATCAGGTACAGTTGAAGGCTAGCCTTTGGCTATTTATATACATTTGCTTCAACTAGTACACTGCTGAGAGTCAGGAAAGAAAAAGAAATTTCTGAATTTAGGTTCTGTGCAGCTGAATTGTTCTTTCAAGGACTTAAGGACAACCGGGCAATCACTGGTGAGGTTCATCTTTTAAGTCATGATTGTCATTGCGTCTAAGACATATGAGATGATTAACTGATATCTAGTTTAGGTAGTACTGCTTTATCCTATGGAGAATTCTTGCATGCAACACAGAACTTTTCATTAGCAAAGGATGTCTACCAGAATGTTATTCAAGGGGGGTCAAAGAGCGAAGAGCTTGGTAACTCAAATGCATTAGCAGCCTGTAATATGTCAGCAGAGGAAGTTTCCTTAGCGGCCACATGTGCTTTGGGACAACTTGAGGCTCATTTGGGGTAAGTTCCTGACTACTGTTGAGACTTGAGTCTTTCCTTCTCTCTCTTTTTTTTTTTTCCTGTTTAGAATGATTGAGAGAATAAATCTTGTTCTTTTAGAAACTTTGCTGATGCCGAGGAGATATTGACCAAGGCTTTAACAATAACAGAGGAACGTTTTGGTATGTTTCTTTGGCATAACTTTTGTTTCAGAGTGCTGTAGAATTCTCATAATTTTTATCTATTGATATGTTGGCCTCCTTTTGGTTCCTTGATTTTTGTGTAGGTTCTCATCACCCCAGGGTTGGTGTTGTTTTAACCTGCATAGCTCTCATGTTTCGACGTAAAGCAATGCTAGAGCATTCTAGTGCTCTTTTGATTCAAGAGGTTAGAACTTACATATTTCTTTGTCTGCTATATTTCTCAACTTAGGAAGCTTTCATTTTCTTGCTACTATATTTTATGGCCTTATCCTTCCCCCTTCCACCCCGAAAAATAAAAATGACAGGGACTTTATAGAAGGGCAATAGAGTTGCTGAAAGGCCCACCATTGGACGCAGAAGGTATGTGTTAACTGTGCCATAAATTTCTTCATATGAGAGCGGGTAGTAATTGCTTATTGCCCTTTATTGGCTTGTGTAGGTACAGAAGCAAATGTAGATAGAAGTGATATAGTGGCCCTTGCAAGAGGTAATGGCTAAACATCCAAATGTTTCCTCAACATGAGCATACTCGATATTATACCCTAGCAATGACCATTTTTAGAAAATCATCCTTGATTTGTTAAAACGACTGGGCCTTATTCCATACATGTTAACCAGTTTCCAGTTGCTCAAATCTAAGCATTGTTTCCTGCACCTGGCCGGTGTGGCTTATACTGTAAAATGAGTATATATTCAAGTAGAATAGGTCTCTGTCTGGATATTTGGAAACCTGTAATGGCCTATATGGCTGCAGCTGCATGACCTGCTGACTTTTTAATCTAAAGATTCTAACCAGTTAATTGATTGTGTAGGCGGGTATGCCGAAGTGCTTTGTGTCCAAAAGAACCGAAAGGATCAAGGTGAAAAAGCGAAGGGTTGGGCGGAGGCTGCATGGAGGAACCGCCGGATGTCATTGGCCGAAGCACTCGACATATCTAGTACTAGTTCAGCTGTTCCAATTATAGATGCTCGAATCAGCAGGGTACTGTAACGACGCCATTTCAAATACTTGCAGTCGCAGTTGGAGGTTTTCTGGTGATATACATCACAAAGAATGAGAAGCCTTGCTCGCATACCGTCTTATGCCCTTTGCAGTTGTTAAGGATGCAGCAACTGAGAGAAGTATTGGACCAAGCATATCGTTACGCCATGCGACATCATGGCATGAATGTACACCGTTATGTACCTATTTTCGGATAATGTAAGAGGTATCTTAGGTGGCCATAGGTGAGAGATGAACAAGCCCTTGGAAATAGATTTGTCATCGGAGTTGGATACCTTATGCTTATTGTCGAATAAACGTTTGTTGATTATAGCATCAATCCGAGGTGGTTTTGTTGCTTCGACATTACGATATCTTTTTGAGTTGATGGAGATTTGCGGAGATCATGAAGAAAACGTCGTCAGGTTGGACGTAAAAAGTGAAGAGTATCAGAAGTGTCCTATATTACGAGAGTCAGATCTTCACACAAGTTAATTGAGGTACAAAACAGAATTACTCACTTAGATGAATTGCAAAATGCGGTTCAGTACCAGTGCTTGTTACAAATAAAGACCTCATCACAACCAAATTTAACGATCACAGAGGAATATCAAGGCCCTTTCCGATCTCCACTCCGATCAGCTGCAGTATTCCCTTGTTCAATATCTGGAAATTATGAAACCAAAATTAAACATATCAGCCAAAAGCGGATCGTTCTACAGTGACGTTAACTGCACTTTTTCGACTGACTGTAAGGTCGAAGTAGTCAATACTAGACCATGAAAACCCAAAAGAAGAAGAATTTTACCAGTTCCACAATGAAGGTTCCAATAAGTCCAATCATACAAGCTCTAGAATTCCATATTTCTGCAGTCCTGGTGAATCCAGCAAAAGGGGACCTTAAGTTTTGGCTCCACTTTTGGCACCACCACCTGCAAATTTTGATCCATATTAATGATTAATCCACCTTTTCACAACTATACTTTTGCAAAAAGTTCTAAAAATTCGTATAAATTACAACATCATGAGAGAAAACAAATGAACAAATGGATGGCCTGTTTGGAAAGCGCTTTTAAACTCTCAGATCACCAAAAGCGCTTCTGACAATAATTAGAGAAAGAAAAAAAAACAGTTCATTTTTATTAAAAATATGAACATGCTTGTAATTACAGAAGTGCTTTTTAAAGAAGCATTTCCGGCCAAAGAACGTACTCCAGCAGGAAGTTTGGCAGCTTGAACTCTGAAGGAGCCGGGACGCCTCCTGGGAGCTGGGTGGAGTTGCTGGGTTTGAGGATTTGCTGTTAGAACCCTAGTGGGGAGGAGAGAAGACGAAAGTATGGTAGATGAAGTTGCCATGTTTTTTTTTTCTTTTTTTATTTAATCTAGAGTGTTGTTTTGGTTGTGATATATGTCATGCTCTCAAGCTATGGGTTCTTTGCCATCCTTATCCACACAGAACGATTGGCAAATAACTTTCCACGTCCATATAATTCTTTTGTGTTTTGTGGGGTATGAATTGACATCGATTTATGTAGGAAGGATGTGGAACGTTGTTTTGGTATCATGCAAGCTTGTTGGGTGATTGTCAGGTCTGCTACTATAATGTTTGATGTCGAGGCCCTTCGATCTATCATGATGACGTGTATTATTCTTCACAACATGATTGTGGAAGATGAGTATGATTATGATGTCATTGATGAATATGAGCGGATCCGATGAACAACTCAAGAACACGTATCTACTGTGCTCATGGCTGAACCGAAGATCCCGTGCAACACGTGCCGTTGGAACAAGATGGACGTTACAATGAATTGATCGTTTAGCGTTACACTGATGTGCAAAAGCCCTATTGGCACGTAACCCGCCAAAATGACTTGATTAAGCACCAGTGGGGATTGCAAGAAGCTGAAGATAATTAAAATAAGCTTGTGGTTGAAGAGATAAAGTGTATTTGATGAGTTTATGTAATTTTATTTTAATGTGTTTTTTTAAGTTTATTTGATGAGTATGTAATTTTATTTTAGTTTGTTTTTTTTTTAAGTTTATTTGAAATTTTATCTGAAATTGGTTAAAAAATTTATTCGAAAATAAAGTTATTGGGCTGAGTGCTAGTGTCACATCCCGGCCTGGGACGGATCACTTCCCGGGCCCGCTCCACCACCGTAGCACGATATTGTCCGCTTTGGGCTTACCATTCCCTCACGGTTTTGTTTTTGGGAACTCACGAGCAACTTCCTAGTGGGTCACCCATCATAGGATTGCTCTAGCCCCTTTCTCGCTTAACTTCGAAGTTCCTACAGAACCCGAAGCTAGTGAGCTCCCAAAAGGTCTCGTGCTAAGTAGGGATGGGAATATACATTTAAGGATCACTCTCCTGGGCAATGTGGGATGTTACAATCCACCCCCTTTAGGGGCCCGACATCCTCATCGGCACACTTCCGCCCAGGGATTAGCTCTGATACCAAATTATCACATCCCCGCCCGGGCGGGACCACTTCCGGGCCCGCTCCACCACCGTAGCACGATATTGTCCGTTTTGGGCTTACCATTCCCTCACGGTTTTGTTTTTGGGAACTCACGAGCAACTTCCCAGTGGGTCACCCATCATGGGATTGCTCTAGCCCCCTTATCGCTTAACTTCGGAGTTCCTACAGAACCCGAAGCTAGTGAGCTCCCAAAAGGCCTCATGCTAGGTAGAGATGAGAATATACATATAAGAATCACTCCCTTGGGCGATGTGGGATGTTACAGCCAGTGCATTTTGTAAGGGTGGAGATCGTTTGTGCTATCGCATTTTTTTAGGGGTGGAAATGCTTTGGCCTATTACTGTTCACTGGGGTCTATTACTGTTCACTTGAATGGATAAATGCGTTGAGTGTTGGCGCAAAGTCTTTAGGGGTGGAACTGCTTTTATGGGTCACATTTCATGAACTAGAAGTTATTTAACACACACACACACACACACACACGATATTTCCAGGAAGTGTTAAAAATTTATGATTATTAGAGAATTTTAAAATGATGGAATTTAAAAGAATGAATTTTATTTCTAAAAGTAGTGAAATTTGTCTTTTGCCTAACTCAATGATTGTTGACCCTAAAAACTATCAAGCCTATGTGGCATGCAAGCCGATTAATTAATAAGCTAACTACGTCTTTTAGTTGTGTGTGGGGCATGCCAACTCATTAGCCGAGCTTAGCTGGGGAGTAAAATGTGTTGATGTCGCGTTGGGTGCATTGCTGACTTCTTGATCTCGCGACTACAGCCGAGGAAGGAACATGTCTCGGCCTTTGGGTTCTAGAGCTTGAAGACAAAACTGCTAGTTCTGCGAAGTTCAATATCAAATTCGGCTTTCAATGTGCCTAATGTAGTAACCTGTAATACCTCACTTCGCCGAGAAGGCTAATGAGATGACCTCTACCAATAAGGATTTGAAAATCCTTCTTGACCGAGACTTGGATAGATAACCAGTCAGCCTTGACGCAGTGCTGGTTATCCAAATTGAAGGTGCTCCGCGTTCGGTTGATTCTATGACAACAAGTGCTGCTTATCCAAACTGAAGATGTTCACCGGTTACCTTCACAGTGCTTTTTATTCAAACTGAAGATGTGTTGGCGAAAAAGAATATAAAAATCTCAAGGTGTTTGAGAGGTTTCACGTGAGCGAGGGTTTACGCAAGGCAGTTTGTGTGTTGATTTGAAGGGACCCTTTCCCGTTGCCACTTGCCTCTGTATTTATAGGTTTCAATTCTTGCTTGGCACAGCCTGGTAACTTTGTAGAGTTCAATTGCGATTCTACCTCCTTCTTCGCATAATATGCGACATCAAAATCCCAAATCCCTAATATAGACCACGTGCATTCGTGATAATGGCCCTAGGAAACAATTCTGATATTTAATGGTATTGCACCATGCATATGCATCCCTTAATGCCACGTGCTTTATTGGAGGACTTATCCATTGGTTTCTGTAAAACTTTATTAGCTTGTTGTCCTCCTTCTTATCTTTTGCATAGCACCAATCTAATCCAAAGATTGGTTTTATTATTTGAATGCCTAAATCGCAGTTTACGTGGATCTCATCTTAACGTACCATGCTGCTCCCATCTAATAACAAGAATCCGAAATCCATTTGAATTGTACTGCTTGCTTGGAAATATAATTTGCATCTTATCTATCCTATTTAAGAATATGTCAAGACAATTCGTATTAAAAGATAATTATTATGATAAAAGCCATAATATTATCCTTTAATAACAAAATTATCTTCACTCTTTCATCCGACGGTTGGGAGCTATGCTTACTTAACGACCTTGATTGCATGGGTCAATAATGTAATTTTGGGTCTAAGCAATGATACAATGAAATTTAAATGTGGAATTTAATGTATATTTAGAGTCAATGTTATATAAATGAGAGTAGTTAGCTAATGTTCTAGTATTGATGGTGGTAGGTCTTGCAACGGTGGTAGGAATGGCGGTGAAGACCACGAAAACGCAATGATTGTAGGGGTGATGGTGGTGATAGTGATGGCGGTGATGATGGTGATGATAGTGAAGATGGTTGTGACGGTAACATTAGTACTGGTGGAGTTGGTGACAACTCCAAAATGGCGAGAGTGGCAGCAATGCCTATAAAAATGTGGTGGTCATTGAGGTGGTGCTGACGGCGATGGTTGTAGTGCTGATCAGGAGAATATGGTGATGGTGACGATCGTAGTGGTGCAATTGGTGGTGACGTAGATATAGTGAGGGTGAGAGTGGAGGTGATAGGGATGGTAAGTTGGTGATAGCAGTGATTGTGGTGATGTTGGCAACTTGACATGCAAGGTTGAGTTTCTTACTTTTTTTTCTCAAATTTTTAATTTATTTTCTTCATACAAGGTCAAGTTTCAAAAAATTTATTCAATATAGAGACTATTTCAAGCCCAAGAAGTAGCATGTGCGAAAAAATGAGGCAATAATCAATAAAGCAGAGAGTCGAAATTTTGAAACCTTTTAGGAAGACAAAATTTCAAGTTAGCTAATTTAAGTGCTACTTAATACTACAATCTAGTTGTATTTCTTTTTACTTTAACATTTATAAGTTGAAAGTCCTAGATTCGACTACTGTGGATTACCAGTGTGATGCCAAATTAAAATGACATACTCATTGTGTAACTTAGCCCAAATATTTCACCCCTCATAGCCTATATCCTTTAGTCTTTAGTTTAAATATATATCATTAAAAAGGAAAAAAGTGTAAATATATATATCTATATCATAATAATTCATATCGGACTTATTATTCACGAGAGTCGAATTTAAGACCTACTACTATATCCCTTATATTAGAAAAAGATAAAAAATTATATTGTCTAATTCCTCTTAAAAGAAA